CTAATAAATACAACGCCATTCCGTTCGCTAGTACGTGTTGTCGTTTGCCATGTTCTTTCGGAAGTGAGTCAATGTCTTCTCGTTCGTTACAATCTGGGAAAATACGTTGGTAAGTATAATAGGTCAGTTATATCATTCGTATTTTTGCGCTGTTTGGTCGTATGAATTCAAGATCGTTCAAGATCTAATTCCATATGCACTTGTCAGTCAATAAATGAACATCGAGCTCCGCTCGTAACCAGATCTGCGCAGAATCCCAGGATATTTCAAAATATTGACTTCATAAACACTTTAGTAAGATAAACAAGATTTTCCCTTAATCCGGGTTCTCTGATAGCTTACTCCTACTGATGACGTGAGTTGTGACAATTGTAAAATCTTCTAAGTTTGATAAATTATTTTAAAAGTGTCTTCAAATATTCTAATACCATTTCCTATGTAAATCTGTCTTAACAGTGTAATTCCATAATTAGTAATAATCATTGCCATTGGGTTGTTTTTTGCACATAAAATTGTATTAGCTATTTTATGTTCTTATGATAAAATAAGCTACCTGCAGTAGTTTATGTGCATTGCCCCCGCTTTAGTTGAGTCATTCACCATCAAAAGATAAAACATAAAATTAATGTTATTTAATCAATTTCATTAATTCGAAATGAAGGATGTTTCCAATGTGTTAAATTTATGATTCCTTTTGATTAAATGGTAGATTTCACATACAAAATATCAGTGAAATTATACTTATTGACTTATAACTTCATTCTTATTAAAAAAAAAAAAAATCAGAAATTTTCTTCTTGCTTACACAGATATTGCTTACAGAGAGAGTAAAACTGTTCCCAGATCGAGATGGAAAGATTTTGAAATCATTTGAATTTAGGTAATGTTATTCAAACAGTTCATCTTTATTAAATATTTAAAAATTAAATAAATCCCTCCCATTTGCATATGATAATCATGGGTCATATAACATCATGACATAGTGCTAATTTTTTTCATTGATTGGGCTTCTTTACAATGGCAAAGTGTTAACATATTCTGTATACTTACTAAATACGTTATATTAACACAAGAAAATTGAGAAGGAAAGTAGAATACCAAATGTTCAGAAAAATATTCAGTGATTCATTACTGCATTCACATGACTTAATGCAGTGTCTATAATCAATACAACATATTTTATAAGAATATTTTTATTCTCAATAAGCATTTTTGTACAGTAACATTAACATTTAATCCAGAAAATTATCAATATAATACATAGTATATCAAATGTTAAAACAATATCAATTTAAATATAAATGATATGAAAAAAAATTCTATTAAATAAAAACATTTAATCCAGAAAATTATCAATATAATACATAGTATATCAAAGGTTAAAACAATATCAATTTAAATAAAAATTATATGAAAAAAAATTCTATTAAATAAAAACATACTTGAAGCAGTTCATCTTTCAATATGAATTGAAAGTTTAAAGAAACTTCTAACTCTCGGAGATGAAACAATGATGAAATATAATATACACTTGTAAATTGGTTGCCTTAGTTGGGGTATGATGAATTAAAACTCAAATTTGTGTTTCATTTGCTGTTGTAAATAGTTTTTATCAGACGCAAGTGAATATTTCTTGTTACTAAATTTTGCCAGAAATGCTCATGGCTACCTGTATTTATAATTCAACTTAATATGGTAGTATAAGAGCGAGGATAGAGATTCCACAGTTCAAGAAAATATACATAGGTTACACTTCTCTCTCACACATCACACTCAGTTTTTATCAGTTATTTGATTTAAATAAATAAATATGCATTTTTTTGGAAAAACAAAGATAATAATAGGTTCTTGTCCTTTCAAGGTTTGGATGGAAGTGCTTTTTATAGGTAAGATTTACGTAAGGAAACCTTTTCACTCTATCTCACCATAGAGCTCATATTGTATGAACACACAGATACTACTTAATTTTCATATTTACTACACAAAAACAAAGTTTAGGCTTATTGACAAATATTTCATAACATTGTATCCTATTTCTAAAATTTACCTCCTTTTAGCAAAATTTCAAAAAGTAAAGTGAAACATTTTTGTGAAGATACTTTTTGGAATGCTGTGTCCTCCCAGCAAAAGGGCACACACTGCAGCATTACATCTCAGCAACCTAGAATATTTTATTAGATAGTAAAATGAAAGTATACGTAGTTGTTGTATAGTTATTATTTAATGAGAGGTCATCCATAAATAACATAAAGCAAATTTGGATAATATTTTATCTCCCCTTTCCTTCCTTTCGTATAACTCACTTAAGTGCAAGTTTCAACTTCTCCTAAATATCACTGTCCAACTAAGATTTTGTTAAATACCCAATATTGGTTGATTATATATCATCTGCCAATTCTAAAAATGAACTCAGAAATGTTTTATCACCAACCATTTTTTAGTAATACATATAAAAAAAAAAATCTTGTCCTCATGTTTTAGCAAGTCATAAAAGTGCTGATTACAAGGTTTGCTTCACTGATTTAACAATTGGCTTTGTTTAGGAGCTTGTTGTTTATAAATTCAGGGATGACATCACTAAACATTTTTTTAAACTCGCCCAATTGTGTGGCATTTGCAAGTGGAGTAGAAAAGAGCTTGTTACTTCTTCAGTTGTGACTATGATTGCAAGCCATTCTTGTGTGTTCACCTGTGAATTGAACTGTAAGTACAGTGCAATGTTTTTGAAGGAGAAACAAATCTCAATAGTGTGTAGATGATGAAAATAATTTCTGTTACTTTTATGATGAGTTCACTTTAAAAACACAGAGGCAAAATTTGTCTTCATGAGTTAAAAGAGCGTAAGAGTATTATTTTGACACTAAAATAAATCAGAATTAGTTAAGAGTTCCTGAAACCTTGTGTGCCAAATGTGAAACTTAATAAGTGACTCGTCAAAGGATACCATCATATGCCTTTAGCAGTTCCTATGACATGGTGAGAACCTAAGGTCCACATAACAGACTTGTACTTGTGCTTGGTAAATAGATCTGGAATGAGTATAAAATACAAACATTCCATTAAATATCTGCTTTTAGAATAAGCAGTTCAATCGATGGTTCATGCACCAGATTTTCCCAAACAACCTTCATCAAATAACTTTAATAGGACCGAATATTTTGAAAGCATTGAAGAGATTGATAAATTCAATATTTTTTGGAAGAAGTTACTTAAAAAATCCTCACATTTTGACACAGGAGGATCAAAATTATTTGGTTCACTATCTTCGTTCATTTAAATTTAAAGACAAATTACTTGCCTCAAGATTAAAAGGCTAGGATCTCATACAGGATAACACCAAAATTCTTTCCATCAACACAAAAGCAATTTGAGCATGTGTTTTCCAAAAAGGATGACCTAGATTTCTGTAATAATGCTGATTATTTGATGCATTGCCCAAGAATGATCGAGAACGATAGGGTTGAGGAATGTAATGTGATATTGAAAATACACTGAATGTTGGACATCCATCTTAATTTCTTCTGGAAACCTCATTGCTGTTAGTAACAATCTTGGTGAGCATTTCTGTTGCTGCAATGGAAAGACACTATCAGGGAAAATGATACCTAAATATAATGGTAGACTATTCTTGGGTGCTAAGAAGTGATGTTCTTCAAGCCAAGTTCATCGGAAAATCTAATTTACGAACATATTAGGTAATTAAAATCATTCCAGCTAAGATGAAAACGAATAAATCATCACCACCAATGGCCCCACAAATCTGATTTAATTCTAACCACTCTTTAAACACTCCCATTACTAATAAGAACAAAGTGTGAAAATTTCAGTGAAATCAGTTGAGCAGTTTTTGCACCTATGTGTTACACGCATAATTTTATTTATACGCACTTTTATTTATATATAGATAAGTAAAAATAAATTATACAATTAAATAATAAAACAAATAACTTAATACCTAAGAAAAAAAATCAGCATCACATGATGATCAACACCCCCCTACCTTTACATAATGCACCATAGCACATCCTCAACCACTCTCCTTTTTAGCATCACATGATTTAGATACTAAGACTCTTTTGCAACAACTACTTCCAAAAAATATTGAATATTATCAATCTCATGAATGGTTTTCAAAATCTTCAGACCCATTGAAGTCAAGGAGCTGGTATGGGAATATCTGGTTCACGAGGCATTAATCAGTTTGCCGATTCCTGCCCCCAAGCTGATGGCAGGAGCTGAAGAGGTCTATTTTTATCAGTGAGTAATATCTATTTTCTGTTGCATTGTAGCAATAAATGATCCAGTACTAATATGTAAATGAAAGGAAGGATTTTAAATGAATATTTTTAACTACTACATGCATACTCAAGGTGCATGTAAAGTACCATAATGTAACCTTGTCTCAACTCCCCCTTTTAGTGTTATATAATTTATAGATGATCCCTGAGGTTATTTTGCAGCAACTTCTTCCAAAAATATATTAAATGTTATCAATCTCAAGAATGCTCTTGAATTCTTCAATCCCATTGAAGTCAGTGAACTCTTTCATGAAGTTGTTAAGGAGACATAATCCAATTTCAACACATTTCAATATATGAAATAATGTGCATTAAATAGCAAGTAAATAAGTAAGTGAGTAATAATTAGCAGTGAACTAAAATAAGTTTGAGTGAGTATTTTAGATTTCATTAGACGAGAGAATAAAATTGTTGTTAATGTTCCCAGGAACTGCAAAATACATTGTGTGCATATTTATTATTGATAAAAAAAAGTGAATATTATACCCTATTGCAACAATCATGAAAAGAATGTTAAGTAAATAGTTTTAAGAAATATTTCTCAGTGATATTGAATAATTTCATTTTATGTAAACACTAAATGATATGCAATTTTTACTAGTTATCAAATATTTTCTATTATTGCTTTCATTTATCAACACAATTTCATTTTCAGAAGGAAGAAATGGAAGGGTTGGAAAAGCAGTAAAAAATTAAATAAAATCTTCTAAATAATTTCAACAATTTATTAAAATAATAAACACACTTTAATACTAAAACTTGTAAAATATGTATGAATTATACTTTTTTACTCTCTGAACAATTAAAATCTTTCAAAGCTATAATACCATAGCAACGAGGAGATATCACAGGGTTGAAAAGTTGTACAATATGTACCTCCTTGATGCCCTATAATAAAAACAATTAACTGTTAAAACTTCACATATTCCTCCAAAATCTTAATTAATCTCATTACACAAAAGTCTTACCTGTTCAACTAAGTATAGCAATCTATCAAGCACAATGACTGTTTCAATAACAGGAGCAAGAGACACTCGAATCAAGAAAAATGCTTCCAACTCATCCTTTCTTTCCTTATACTGGTCATAAAATTCTTGAATCTCTGAACTAGTTATCTGTAAATAATGTTTGAATTTGATGAATTTAATATGTCCAGAAAAATCAATAATATCACATTAATACTATTACAGCTTTAAAAATCAAAACACTTTGTTTTACCTCCAGATCAATTTTAAGTTTTTTAATAGACTTATTACAATACTCTTCAAAGTTTTGACACTTGGATGCAATGCGACCAACTTGCCAGTCAGCTCGATCATGACCAGTCTTGTGTTTTAAAATGACTTGTAAAAGAGCTCTGTAGAAGAGGGAAGTGACTGGAATCTACAAATATCACAATATATTAATACTTGGATTTAATTTAGAAGATTGGGGAGTTACAATAGCAATAATCCACACCTATGGATTCAGATTAACATGTTATGAAATGTCACTCCATTAGAATTATTAATAATCTTAAAATTGTCCAATTCTAAATAATGGTCTTTACTAAAGTCTGTTTAAAGAAGTTGGCAGTTGCGCAGTGGAAAGGTGTGACGTTGACAGGTTGCATACCACTGAGCATGTGTTACCAGGACACAAAAATAAACACTTGAAATAAATACTTATAAAAGTAACCAAATCAAATACTCATATTGTATCAAGCAACAGCTTCAGAAGTACAAATGTCAATCACCAACTAATTTTAATTGGACCATACACTAGCGATTCTATAATTTTTTAATACAATTATAAACCATCCATTATACAGAAAAAAATACACAACTTATAGGACAGATACACAAACATTTATTGATAACCTTCTATGAGCTAATCATACTCATGCTTTTTAATTATTATATTTAGATTAAGAGAAGCTCTTCATTGATTTTTAATACAAAATAACTAACATATTGTATGCTTTATTTTTTTTTCTTTCAATAATATCCAATGTGATTATAAATCAATAAATTAATTGTGATGTAAAATCAAGTAAATTATTGCCAATTTTTTGTTAATGTTTTTACACATCTCTCCAATACTTGAAGTAAACTTATGTTGGAGTTTTCATAGCACATTAAGTGACTTTTGAAAATGCTAAAGGCAGAATAAAATTTTTCACAAAACACAAAGAGAGTAATTACTCTGAGAATTGCCTAACTAGCAATACAAGTGGAATTTACCTCATTTTTCTCAGAAAGTCTGTCAACAGACTGCGCAGCCAACATTCTCACATTTCGGCCTAGAGCAAATTTTTTTGATGTGAGAAACTTGCTCATAGGGAAACCAAACTCAGAGTTAAGTGTGATTGGTTCTTGGGAAAATGGATTTCTACAATATTCTTCTTCTATAAGATGATAACAGCAACCAACATTACAAAGAGCTTTGATGGTATCATTTTGCACAAACAACCTGAGACATGTTGCTGCTAAATTACCACATGTATGCAGTCCAACTAGCGCCATGGAATACGCAGTTTCATCTGGGAATCTCTCTTTCACAATTTCCTCAATGTTACTAGTCTCAGAGATGTATAATGTAGCCTGCCTGTATAAAGAAGCTGATGTTGATTTACAGTATTCTAAAGATGAATCACCAGATGTGGAACAATTGTCCTGAAAACTGTCAGTTTGATGGGATTTTGATTTCCAGTGTTTTCCACGCTTCATTGCAACATCATGCTCTCGTTTTTCCACAGCTCTTCGACACAGACCTGGCCAATATTTCTACAACAAAAATAATATTAATGCATAAAATTTAATTGTAATACTATTTACTTGAAAGTATTTCTTTAAAACAAGAATTTGGGGAGTTATTATGCAATATAATTTAATATATAAAATAAATAAATTTACAACATTCTGCATATATATACAAAATAGACTGAAATCTCTCAATAACACATACTTAATAGAATGCTCACTATAATTCTAGTGGTGTTCAGTCCACTAAAGAAAGATTTTGAGAAAAGAGATGTTTTAACTGTGGACTTACTGTGGACTGTGGAGTTATCCAATATGAAAAAGTATCAATTCATGTGATTTGCCCATTCAAAGAGATTTCACAGAATTAAATTCTTTAAATAACCATGAAAGTCAACTTTTTACTTCATTGTTTACATATAACTTTCTAATTGTGCTGCAGAGTGGAAATTACTTTCCTTGGAATATAAAATCCAATGTTTTAATACAAAATTAATTCTAAGAACAGTACTATGACCTATTTTAGAATAAACTGAAATAAGTATTATTTCATTATCCAAAAATAAATTAAGCTCCACAGCAACCCTAATTTCATAGAATTTAGACAAAACATTGAATGATTCCTCTCTCCCTTAAATATAATGAAAATATAAAATACTGAAAAATCTTGGTATCTAAGAGATGAAAGTAAATAATTGAGAATTGCAGTGTTGGTAATATAATGGTGGTTAGAATGAAAAACCATACAAAATTTACATGTTTATCACATTAACATTTATTAAACTATAAAAAAAGTCTCAATAAAAATAATAATAATAATAAGATTTTGGATGTATGGTGTAATATGACAAAATATCTAAGCACTCCTACATGTGGTGCAACTAAGATTTTAAAATTGTTCCATCAAGTAAATGCAATTCTAAAAACATTTTTGTAAGTGAATTTGTTTTTGGTGTGAGCAAAGTGGAAACAACTAAGAGAACAATTAGCAAGTTTCAACACATGTTTTTATATTGAAAAGAACACTTTTTATTTCACTTTAAATGATGACTTGTTGCAAAAGTGATGCCTAGTATAGTATCTATTACCTGAAGTTTTTCTGATCTCTTGGCAGCTCCATGTGTGTTAATTTGAGAACTATCCACACCTAAAACACGAAGGCCATGCTGAAGAGCCAGCATTGAGCTCAAATATCCTTTTCCACTCCCAACATCTACAATATGTGATGAACCAGAGACTCCAGAAATGGCTGCAACAACCTGGCTCATCATTTCTACTTCATGAGTTTTTTTAGAAGTCATGAATTCATTTATAGAAAAATTTTTTGTTTCTTCAAATCCCCAAGATTTTAACTTCTCTTGAAATAGACTGTGTGATAAACTGACATCATTTAGAAAACCAAGGCACATTCTTCTGGACGATGAGAAGTGTTCAGTGAAGTGAGGGGTACTTGTCATTAATTCAGATACATCACTTTCATAACTAGAAGATGAGTTAGACTTCGTTATGTGTCCAAAAATTCTATACAAGCCTGTGAGTCCAATTTTATTGTATTCATTTTGCATATCAGAAGATACTAAATTTGACCAGTAATTTTCAGTAAAGAGACACACCATGTGACAATTAGCCAAGGGTAATAAAGGTTGGAGATATGAAATGACTTTGTCTAATTGAGATTGAATAAGTTTTATTTCAGCCATTTTCATTAATGGGGCTCATATTTTTAAAACGAAAATTCTCCAGATGATGGCACATAAGGCTCCATCTTTAGAAGTGAGCAGATCATTTTATATTTTGCCCTAATTTTTTCAAGATAACAGATGATATCAACATTGGGATCATTACAGACAGGAAATTCTTTCAAAAGTTCTCTCAACTTTGATAAAACCTGTCTTGCTCTTACAGGTAGTTCTTTAGTCTTGCTAAGCACATGTAAAGCTTCCACAGCTCCAATGTAATATCCTATTTCATTTCCAATGTCAATACCTTTGTGGAAACCAATGTGAAAACCTTCTATGGCCCCATCTCTTTCACCTTTCTTAAAACCTTCTTCAAAGCCTTCCTTCTGAATAAGGTTTTCACTTAATGCAATAGAATCGAACACATCGTTAATGTCACTGTCATTTCTTTCTTGTACAGACATTAATCTTTTTTCTCAATGTAAATGTGAGGTTAGATGTGCTAAATTGCAGCTAAATTAAAAATATTACCGAAAGTAGTTATTACGCACAACAAGTACAAAAGAACTTAAAGAAGTTAAAAATAAACTACACAACATCTAGTACAAATGACAATTTTCACAACAGACTAATGACACAATTTCACAATACTGACTTTGTAACATCCATGCTAACCGGTTCACGAACACCTTTCGACAAGTGTTTTCTCTGCGAGTCCTCAAGGAGAGTGTAGAATATCGAATGGTGAAAAGTGAGAACACAGTATTTGTTATTGCATTTAAAAAGCTGTTTCTAAGATGTTTGTGAACTATTTACTGTTGTGCTCGTGGACATTACATTTTTGTGTTTGTGCTGCATTTGATGAAATATGTATTTCCGAGGAGTGTAATGAATGTAGTACAATGACTAATGTTTGCTCTCTATTTGCAACAATTAGCTCTTGACAGGTTAAATTTCATTAGAGATTCGCAGAAATACAGTTTGCAAGATTAAATTTTAATTTGTTTTCATTTGGATGCTGTAGAATAATACATTTTTTAGGTTATGTTATGGAGTATTATCATAAACTTGCTTTGGTTTTGTTGTAAAATAATTTGAAAATGTTACAATCTAATGGAACCTATTTTTGTACCTTTTTGTTGATGTTACTATTTCCTTTTCAACAATAAATTTTTTTCATTTATTGGTTATGTGTTTATATTTACTTTTCTTTTTATAATTTTCATGATAAATTTAACCATTTCTCCAATATTTTTGATAGAATTCCTGCCATTCTTAGTTTCATTTGATTTGTAACCATTTATTTTAAAATTAATAAATTACATACATATAAAAATTTGTATTTACTACGTTTTAATAGCATACTTTCAGCGAATACTTGATATTTCAGAATTTGCAAAACAATATTTGTGGCCACAGGGCAATTCATGTTCACGTAGCACATTTCAAATTTCGTGCCACAATATCTACACAGTGCAAACGTTCGAATGAACAAATTCGCCCGCTAGGTGTCTCACATGTGTTGTGTCACATGCAGTTGATAACATCATGGCGTTGGAGGCGAGTCGCTTGCTGTTTTTGCTTCTGTGTTTTACAATTTTATACTTAAGCAATGGAAGTAAAAGTGAAAATGTGAAGCCAGTTATAACATCGATATCACTTGTTAATGTTACGTTTATTACAAATGCAAACAACGAAGATTTTAGACGTATGTTAGTGGAACTTAGAGGAAGCGACCTGCATAGTAGTATGATCGTAAGACTTACCTCACATTTATCTGAGAGAAGAACTGAATGTGTGAATGAAACTGACAGTGATTTGTTTGGATATTCATTTAAAGAAAAATGGTTAAATAGTACTTTTGCGTATATGACTTTGACAGTTCCCTGTGCGGTAGAGTTTAGTAAACATTTGTATGTGTGTGTGGGAAGTAGAGATCTAAAGAATGACGGTGCCTTAAATTTATTGAATAGAACGTTTCGTGGTGAAGTAATTAAATGGTTACACCAGGGGGAAAACGTGACATTAAACGAAGATTTCAGTGGAAGTGATTTACAAGTATCTTCGGACTCCAGCAATCATTCTGCACCCAGGTAAGTTAGCATGTTCAACACTTCAGGCAGTCACATGGAGTTGGAACCACTGTGCTATTTAACATTTATCATGAAACAATTGAGACATGGGATCGCAATTAATCTTCGTGATGCTGAAATGCAGTGATTCCGCAAAAACTTGTGACTGAGCTGTTACGTTTCTGATGTTAGTTATTGAGTGATTATATTTGTCACGAATTGCTTCCTTTCGTCTCATTTGCTTACTTTTTCGTATGACTGTCATGTTTTATATGGTCCATTAGTGATATTGTTTAGTTTGATTCCAGTCCTATAATGAACTCCCGTTGGTTTTCGAAACTAAAAAGAAGTTCGAGTAGTTCGACTTTTATTTTTACAATTTCGCAGACGTTAGGTGTCGTTCGCTCAATTATTATTCGTCTTTACAGTGTGAGCTCTTTCGAATTAGCGTGCGGGCTCAAAATGTGACTGCATTTAAATGCAGCCGTGCACGTCATATCCAAAGCGGAAGTGGGAGGAACTGCTCGCAAACTGCTCAGCCCGCCCACGCCCGGTGGATCGCAGGATGAGGCCCAGGTTCGAAAGTGAAGTCGCGGTTTCACTTTCTCGCACTTTCCTACACCCAGGTCATTCGCTCAGCACACATCCAAACCCCACCGCAGTGAAAAACCCCACAGCTATAGAGAATATGTAGCGACATCGAAGGACGTTGCAGTATTTTCACTGTAGATGGTGTTCACATTAGTCGTGTTTTTCTGCGTACGTTTATTTTTAACATGCCGTGCTCCTGAGCGTAGATCCTATTAAGACCCTTATCTTGTCACTTTGCGTGTAGGAGTGTAGAAATGTTGATATATTAAGTACATGGCCTGGCAGCTGCTTTGATCTCGGTTGTTAGATGGAATAACTGTAAACACGGTTTTGTGGTTTTAAAATGATAGGAATTTTTAATCATGTGGCATGTGAATCTTGGCTTAGTGATTTAATTGCACTCTTATATTTCGAGGTAACTGCCTATCCTTTTTACTGCTGTAGGCAAACTAGGGCATGTAGTTTTCTTTCCAGACGTGTTAGTAAGAGCTAATTCAGGTGAAACGACCTTGCATAATGTACGAGAACTACTAACCCTTTGTCATAACGTAGGCGTGAAAAAATGTAGGTATCACTGCTATGAAAGTTATTCTGTAGTCTCACACACACTTGATTATTAAATTGAATAAAGAACGTTGTTATTGCTTCAATGCTTACAAACTTTTAAAAAAAAAGTTTTTAGGTCAGTGTGATACGCCAGAATAGACACCAGGGAATATAATATTGCTGTCGCTGCCTTGTTAAAAATATCGAACCCTTGTCATGCAATCCTCATATGCGTCATTAAGCAATCCAAGAAGTGTTAATTGTGTTACTGCTTCTCACTACTCTCTAATTGTATGACTTCTGGGCCACGCTTTTGCTACAAACAGCTTCTCACTAGAGAATGTAGGATATTATTGTGGTACAATTTCGAACCCTTCTCACACGAATTGGCCACTGAATTCAAAGAGTCTGCCTCCCCTTGGATTGAAATTGTTATCGAGGCAGACTTGACGGACAAAAGGCAACTACCATTCAACCCCGAATGTTTCACCAAACTTACAAATAACCTGAACAGTATAAATTTAACCCCCGTTCACTCTGAAGTAAGGAAGAGATTCATTCTTTAGATGAGTAAGAATTTCAACGTAATGATAGGCATTCATGCACATTCAGTTGGTGGTTGAGAGAAATCTGTTTATTATAATAAAGACAAAAGGGCACGTAATAGCGCATTAGTTGAAGTCTATTTAGATTTGAGAAATCTATAGATCATTAGAGAAATTATCATTACCATTAGAGAAATCTATATTAGTGGGATCGATTGAATTTAACATTATTCATTAACAGTTGAAACGAAATCAAAGATTAAAATTGTACGGGCCTTTATTAATTGACACTTTCATATTCAGTTCATATTATTTAATCAGAGTGAATCGCCTTATTTGCGGCGTCTTCTAAGAAATTGTACATTGTGTTATTAATTTTATACATTAGTATTTTGCATTCGTATGCCATGTGTATGTGCCAGTGATGGGGACATATAAGGCCCTCTATGGTGTTTCTCATGTTTATAGTCAGGTTAATCGGTTTACAAATTGAAATGTAATGTAATTATATTAATGTTGTTGCATATTCGACGCATGTCGTAAGTGCTATGTAAATTATGCGTATGTAAGAAATTGATGATTAAGATCAAGAAAATACAAGATAATTCTTTGCAACTTTTAATAATGAAAATATAATTGTAGTACACTTTCAATGCTCTTTCTTTGCATTTCGTTCCCGTTGAGAATGAACAGGGTAGTTCGATTCGGCTGCAGTATTTGGAGTACATGGTCATTAATTGCAGATCAGATCCCTCCAGTAACGTGGATGTTATTTCTGTTCGCCCCTGTAAGCAATATGTGATGTTTTAACCTCAGGGTGATGCTCACTAACTCATCACGAAATCCCGCTCCCCTTCTGTAAACGTTTAGTATGTTCTAAATTGACGTTGCGTGGAGAACAAGGCGTAGAAAGGAAGATGCAGGAGAATGAAAGACCTAGTAACGATACTGATTCCAGGATTTGGCGAGATATCCATAGACCGTACTTTCTTTAAGGTAAAAATCAGTTATACAAAATTTCGTTAAGTATTATGAACCAAGTTTGTAGTCTAGTTTAATCGGAAGAATAGTGGTTAACTGGAGACAAATGAAATTGTATTTATTTGATGGTGTTTCTCATCTTTCTTTTCTTGTAATTTTGCTCATGCATTCTGTTCACGAGTTGGCGTTAGAAGTGAAGGTCTCTTGCTTTTGGTTAAACTTACTTGCGCTCGATAACTAGGAGGCGTTCAGAAAAGGAGGGGGCTGCTTCTTAAGCCCCCCCCCGCTCCAACTTCATTGGTGCCCCTAAATTGTTTTTCATCTTAAACTTATAAAATGTGTTTACTTATAATTCAAAGCTATACGATATTTCTGTTGCATGGTGAGATGACTACTTTTTATGTATGGGGGGATTATGATTTAAATGAGGGGCTCCCGTGGATCTACTTGCTCCAGGCCTGTTATTTCCTCAGGGCGTATATGTCATTAACGAACTGTTAATGTGACATATGTATAGAGAAAAACAAATTATCACTGTTGAAAGTTGTAAGTCAATACAACAAATAAAAGGTACGGATTTTGAAAAAGGACGACAATAAGGTCTTGTAATCATAGTTGTTCTATGCGATCACAAAACGCCTTATTGTGTTGAGGAAAGGGAAGGCGATGAAAGGAATATTATTGATAAATGATAATGTCAAAGTACTAGGTGAGGCCGGGTGCTATAGCTCAGAAGCACCACCGCTACCATCACTGGCCTGGAGATTTTAGGGACCGCTCGCGTCCCGATCTGGCGAATGTTTGACCGCAACTCCAAAGCCGAGTCGAATTCAACCACTGTCTGGAGGAAAATTCATGCCTCTAGCTCCTCTGATCGGTAGGCTTCCTTGGTTCCCCCAATCAATACCAAGCGTGTGTGTTGAGTGCCCTTTCAACCGGGTCACGGACGGCGAGCGGTCTTTCCTTTCTCATCCTTGTCTCCCGATCTCTTTCCCCCTACACGAACATTCACTCCATTCCGTTCACAATCACACTTATAGGAGACGAGTCGGAAGCTTAGAGCTGGTACGGGCTGGTGTGGTGCCCCGCTAGGGGAGATACCTGCAGAGGGAAAGCCCGCAAGGCAACATTCGGCGCCGAATCTCGCTTTCAATCGGAGGAGTGACACCTCCTGCGATATAACTTATACTACACTTAAAGGTCTAATGGCCTAACGCGCCCGGAATCAAAACCCACTAACTCTCGTTGGTCAGCATACATGGAATCTATCTCACAATTTATATTCATGACTGACTCCCAAATCCTTTTTTTTTATTTATCGATCCATGAATCGTTGTTTGACACTCTGACCCACACGATCTTGAACCTGTTTCGCTTTGCTGGTGTATCGAACTCGATACTTTCAGAAGATGATGCTTCAGATATTGCAACGTCGGTACTGCAAATGTAAGTGTATTTCAATCAAACATAATAAAATAATATTTATTTTACCGAAACGAAAAGTTAGCCATTGCGATAATAAAAACGCTCTTTAAATATTTTGTCTCATAATATTTTGTCACATGTTTGTAAATATTAACGAAAATGTTATTTTTTTGTCTTTGCGCCCTTAATATCTGGTTGGCGAATTGTTTTGAAATTGGTTACCGTTGAAAAAAGGTTGAATAAACAATATTTATTTTGAATATGAAATGGCGACGGTCATACAAGGCAAAGTTGCCAAATGTGCAGTGAATATATTGATTCAGGTGTAGAATATTGAAAAAATAACATAGATATATTTACCATCGTAGTTTAATACTTTCGTAGTTACTATTTCATGTGCATCAGTTTGTATCAAAATATATGAAATTGGATTCAGTTTCGTTAAAATGTATTAGTTTTAAAAATAACAGAACGCCAAATGTGCGTTTTTTATAACCCACGCCCATCTTCAGATTCCATTTTATGGAACTTTTAAATGACAGAGGAGTAGATGTACGAAATGTGGCACTTGAAGGAAACTGGACCATTAAGCCCCTTGTTTTCGTAATGCAATCTGTTCTAAAACAAAACAGCTCTTAAATAAAGTCCTGTGTAATTTTTTGAAAACAACAACAACCAGTAGTTTTCTCGTAGATTTTGCGTAAAGTAAATCCAAATTATAATTTTTTTCCAGAAAGACTTCACATTCTTACTTTGCTTTTCCTCTCTCCAATAGATGTAAGGACGCTTAAAGAGAAGGCGCAGGTCTCATTTTTTGAAAATATTTGTAGTTTTCCGCAATTTTGAGTGAACTGAGGACAAAATGAAAAGCAAAATTTTCTTCAAAAGCTCCATGTTTGTCTTTAAACTTTTTGTACTGATATTATGCAAT